TAATTCTATTGCAGAAGTCAATTAGTCTAATATGTATTGAGTGCCCAAGATGGGTCTGGCTCTGTGCTAACTGCCAGGGACTCAGTCATGGTCAAGGATGACTGCCAGGAGGGCTGCCAAACCCTCCGTGGGCACTGCTGTCTGGAGGTCCTGCCGAGGACAGCCAGCTCAGATTACAAGCCTTCCGCTTGATTCTCCACAGAATTGCCTACAGAGGGGGATGACCAGTAGTTATAGCACCAGCCACAAATAACCATGCAGACCAAAAGCACATCTTATTAAAGAAGAAATAGGTGCCATTTCCCACTCCCCAGTGAGCCTCCGAGTTGGGGTGGTGATGTGGGCAGGGAGTCTGCTTTTTTAGGAGCTATTGCTGAGCTCCTTCCACCTGGCAAAGGGCCCTAGAGTTACTGAAGGTATTGAAATTTCTAAGAATCTAAGGATCTAAATCCCCCAATTAGAGTTCTGAGTGCCTTTGGTGCTTTTGCAACTTAAAGTATAGGTTTAATTACGCAGCTTGAGGGGGATCATACACATTGAATCACAAAGAGGCTGAGAGGCCCAGCACTGAGGCAAGCTGTCAGCCTCACAGGTGCCCCCAGGGTGCGGGCCCTGTGCTCTCAGCAGTTGTAAGCTCTGGTCCTGCATTTTCTCCCCTACTTGGTATCCTCCCGGAAGTAGTTCTCAAACCAGGGCTGTTGGAGCCAGTGAGGAATGTCTGTAGCATTCGGGAGTCAGAGCGGGGAGGTCTTGTCCTCCCTTGCAGTGTGGTCAGTGCAGGACCTGGAGTGTGGGCGACTTCCCTGCTGCTCCACCTGCGGCCTGGTGAGGCTTCTCACAGCCATCGCCCTTCTGTTACCTGCTCTCCAGTGCTGTCTTCCATGCTTCCCTAGAAGGCAGGCTGAGGAACTAAGAGGGCAGGAGAAAAAGGAGTGCTCTTTGTCCTGTCTCTTCCCTCCTGCCCACTCGATTTTCTGTCAGTTTGCTAATTAGCATCCCACGGTTGCTTTGCTTGATTCCAGTTAGCCACAGTGTGCTGAGCAGAGCCAGGCTTTCCAGATAGAATCTGGAAGAACATTCCTTCTCTGGGACTCCTTACCCCAGGGATCCTACTCCGCCATAGGCAGTGTCACAGGCCAAACGCGTGAGTTCTGTGGTGATCTGTGCCAAATTATGTTGCGTTTAGGGCAGGAGCCTTGGACATTTTCTGTGGTAGTGGTGGGTGACATATTTTATAAAATGACATAGATGCAAAAACTTGAGCTATGACCACTAATTAAGGGTACTTTTCTGGCTGACCTTGCCCTCAGAGCCCCCCCCCGCCCTTAAAGAACATTGTTGAAGGCTGGTGCCATGGCTTACTTTGCTAATCCTCCTCCTGTGGTGCCAGCACTCCAGGTTCTAGTCCTGGTTGGGGTGCTGGATTCTGTCCCAGTTGCTCCTCTTCCAGTCCAGCTCTCTGCTGTGGCCTGGGAAGGCAGTGGAGGATGGCCCAGGTCCTTGGGCCCTGCACCCGCATGGGAGACCAGGAGGAAGCACCTGGATCCTGGCTTCAGATCAGCGTAGTGCGCCAGGCATAGCGGCCATTTGGGGAGTGAACCAGTGGAAGGGAGACCTTTCTCTCTATCTCTCTCTCACTCTGCCTGTCAAAAATAAATAAATAAATAAAGATAAAAAAGACACAATATAATATGTACAGTTTCACATTTATTAAAAAAATAATTTTGTTGAAAAAAGTATACATACCAAGAAGTACACACATGTGTACAGGTAAATGAGTTTTTTGGCCTCTGATCTCATGCATAACCAACACTCAAGAACGAAGAATGACTGTTGCCTCAAGAGCCCTTGGAATGCTTTTACATATTTAAAAAAATTTTAAATTTATTTTAATTTTATTTGAAAGGCAGGGAGACAGAGAATGAGAGAGTGAGAGTGAGAGCGAGAATAAGAATGAGAGAGAGAGGGAAGGAGAGATCTTCCATCTGCCGGTTCACTCTCCAAAATGGCTGCCACAGCCAGTATTATGGGTAAAAAAACAGTGAAGAAAGGCATCCTCGGTTCTTTGTCTCCCATGAGAGAAGCATTTCCACCTGGACGCAGCAGTGAGCAAAGCGAGCTTTATTTAAGTCAGAAACCTGCTGCCACTGCAGCCAGGAGGGTTATCCAAGAGAGACAGCCCCAGAAACTGTGTCTGTCCAGTCTCTTAAGTACAACTTCAGGGGTGAAAAACAGAATAGTAGCTAACAGTCTGTTAGGAGGCTGGGGCAAAACGCATGAAAAGGCTGGGTTTGTAATCTTGTCTGTCCTGTCTTGCCTGCTCATGATAAAACAAAAAGGGCCTTCTTTCTGTTTTCACTGTAAACTGAAAACTCAGAGGGTGGAATCACTGCTTCCTTGCTATTCTCATGGGAAAGGAGTGGGATTGGCACTTTTGTCTTGCTCAAGGCAGCTTTTGGGGGGAAGGAAGCCTTCCGGGCCATCTTAAAGAGATTTCCCCTTCTATTGCCTTTTAACTCCCTGCCTCCTCCAGGGCTAGGCCAGGCCAAAGCCAGGAGCCAGGAATTCCCTCCAGGCTCCCACATGGGTGGCAGGGACCCAAGTACCTGAGCCATCATCTGCTGTCTCCCAGGATGTGCACTAGCAGGAAGCTGGACAGGAGGCAGAGTGTCTGGGACTCTATCCGGGCATTCTGACCTGGGCTGCTAGTGTCCCAAGTAAGATCTTAACTGCTGTGCCAAATGCCCATCCCTTTTCCATGTTTTAAGAACACTTTAGGTGGATCTAGATTTTTCTCTGCTTACAGTGATGATTCCTTGGAAGCACAGCCAAGTTCATGTTTAGGTGGTGACTGTGGTGTGGAGTAGGAAGCTGTTTGTGTCCCAAGAGACCTGAATTGTCTTATACATGAGTTAACTCTCAGGTGTAGAGCAACTGTGTCCTAGCCCAGGGGTCAGCAGCAGGGATCCAGAACCTCATGTCTTCACTGTGGTCCAGTGCTGTGATTTTAACACCAGGGACTCTGCTCTGTGTGTGCATAAGTAAATGTTGTTTTAGGAAGGGGCAGAGGAGGGGATTGTGTTGACCTACTACGTGTCAGGTGCTAATACAGGTGCCTGACATGTGTTTCCCAGCCTAGTCTTGGAGTGACTGCTGAGGTACATGGGATCTTACTATTTTTCAGGGACTTCTCACTTTTCCTACCTTTCCAGTGAAAGAGCCAAGGGCCACGCAGTGCCAGTGGCCTCTGGGGTTGGACACTGGCAACTCCTTGCCCTGTGGTCATGGTCTTTCTCCTACCTGAGAATGTCTCCCAGGCAGATGGTGAGCACTGGCCACAGGCAGGTCCCCTAGGTGGCCGGGTGTGGGCCTGAGGCTCAGCCTAGCCTTCAGAGGGGCCTGTCTGAGTCCACGGATTGTGCAGCTGGTATTTCCAGAACGTTCACAGGGCTGGGATTTGCAGTAGTCAGGAATGAGCTGCTTAGCCTTGAGCTTAGCTTCTGAAAGATTTGGAAGCTTGGGATTCTATTCAAAGTCCGAGTCCTGGACTGGGTGCCTGGTGGGGACACAGAGAGGGCTCTGGTGCAGCTGTCCTCTGCAAGCTTCCAGCAGAATTGAAGGAGACAAAAGATGCGTAGTTCTGACCCTCTCTGGTAAACGGGACACAGGGTGCCCATAGGAGAAGGGAGGCGGACGGGGCATGTTCGACATAACCCGTGGTTTGCAGGATGCTGGTTTGTGAGCTGCAGCTCCTGCCTGCGAATGCCGTGGATGCTGGCTGAAAATCACAGCTGTGACCCAGACTCTGCAAAGATGGGGATGGGAAGTTGTCGGTTGTTTTTGCTGGGTGCGGTGGGGATGCTGTATGTGAGTGTATGTAGCGGGTAGGGAAGAGGACTGTACAAGGCATCTGGAGACCCCATCCAGCCCGGCAAGGCTGTGGCTTCGTGGGTTTGGCGCGGCAGTCCTCATTCTCCAGTAGAGGTTGGGCTACACGGTAGCAGAAATTTCCCTTGCAGTCTCATTGCAGACTTAGTGCTTTGTTGCAATGAAATCTGATGCCAGCTGGGCCCTTTTCCAGGCCCCTGAGCTCCCTGGGGTTGCTCCATGATCCTGGTTGCTTCACCTTCCCTGCGTCTGGCTTTACAGTTGTGGGAGGAGAAAGTAGGAGGCCCAGGCTTCCTCTGGGAGGGAGCTGCATGGTTCCCACCCCTCACCTGGTGGCCAGAGCTGCTCCCATGGCCTTATCTCTGGGAGGTGGGGGTGGAGGGACATGCAGGTGCATTGCTGGCAGTGTTGCTATCATACCTGTTCTCCCCCATCCAAAGAGGTTTCCTTAGCAATATTCCTGAGCTGATCCACCACCTTGCCAAGACAATCTCCCAGGAGAGACCCCCCTCCCCCGCTCCCGCCATGGTTTCAGAGGCAGCATCTCTTGCTGTCATCCCTGTCCAGCCATGGGATTTGGGGCTGTGCACTTAATGTCTTGTTTGATAACTGGTTATGTAGAGATCATACTAATGGCACCCAAGCTGACGGTGGATGTGATGCGTCAGTGAGACCACACAGATGAAGTGTGGGGTTGGTTCTGTGGGTCTGTGAGCCAACCCACTCCGGGGAGGCAGGGTAAGGGTCAGGTGGCACTGACAGGAAAGCAGGGGTGCTGTTGGCCTCTGACCTCCTGAGCCCAGGGCAGCCCAGCCTGCTGGTTGCAGTAGCAGTGGGGGCTCATCCTGGGCCTTGTCTGTGGGGCCAGTGGAAAGCGGCTGTGCCCCCATCCCGGGGTGGGGGTGTTCCTGGGCCTTCCTGGGCTCACTGTGTGTGGCATTCGGCTGCCTTGCCCTACTGCTGACTTTGAGTGCTTTCCCTTCCTTTGGTTCATCTCCTCTGACCGATCCACTGTTGCTCCCACACGTCCTGTCTCCCTGAGGCCAGGCCAGCATGGCCGCTGATGTCTTTGTGCCATTTGCCACAGGTGTGTGAAGCTGTTGAACCTCCCCGCCAGCCTCCTGCCACAGAAAATGAAGAGCTTGCTGGGTCAGAACGTGTCGGCCAAGAGCCCCTTCATCTACTCGCCGGTCATCGCACACAACCGCGGGGAAGAGTGCAACAAGAAGATAGGTAGGCCCCATGGCCCCAGCTCTGTCCCTCCGCCCGGCCTCCCACTGCCCCTGGCGCCTCTGGATGTCAGCGCAAAGCTCCAGGCTGGCCGCCTGTGTGCCTTTCCTCCCACGGAAGCTTGTCTGGTTTGCTGCCTTTGACAGGCAGCTGCCTGTGGAGCTGAGTTTTAAAGCTCTATTTCATTGACGGCGTTTTCAGGAAAGTCCCAGGAACTGGAAAGAGTTGTGTTTATCGAGACCTAACACAGATGACGTCAGAGTGGCAGTGGAGACCAGTGTGATCTCACATGGTCCGTGCTGACTTCCCACCCAGCAGAGAAAGCTCTGCTCTGGGGTTGGGCCGTGTCCCTGGTGCCGTTTCCCCGTGAACGTGGGGAGAAGGGGAGCAGAACCCTGGTTCTCTTGAAGACCTCACCTCTGCCCTTCTGGCTCCAAGCTCCCTGCCCCTTCCCAGGCTGCAACCGCTCATGTCTCTCCTGTCACTGACCCAGGGCACAGTGTGCCCCAGGCCCTCCCTGTCCTGTGTTCTGGTGTCCTTTGCAAGGCCTGGCCGTGGCTCGAGCTGTCTCCCTCACTGCCCTGGAGACAGACACCAGGGTCCACTTGCATGTGGGGCGGGGATTGCCTGTCATGCTGGTTGGCCTGTGCGTCCGCATGACAGATCTACAGGGGCAGGGGCCTGCATTTCCTAGACAAGGAGCCCGAGTTTAGGGAAGGCCGGGCCCTGCCCAGAGGCCGACTGCCCTTGGTCCCCTCCTGGTGTGGAGGCCCAAGGCTGCTGGCAGCTCTCTCGCTCTCGGTTTTGATCCTCAGCACTTTCTGTGCTGCCTCTTATTTCTGGTTTTGATTGCTGTGCCTCCTTTTAGGGAAAAGGCACCTTCATTCCTTAGGGGCCCTGCCTCGCATACCACCCCTGCTGCCTGCCTGTCCTGACCCCCCACCTCTCTCACCTCTGCTTCTCAGATCCAGCCACATGACTCCTTTCTCGTCCTTGAACACATGACTTGTCCCAGTCCCACAGCTTTGGTCTCTGCATGGACCTCGTCCCATTGCTGTCGCTGCCTCACTCACAGTCACGCTGCTTGGGTCTCTGTTCAAATATCGTCTTCTCAGAGGGGGAATCTGCTGCTCCCAGCACTCTGGAGGCCACCCTGCCCTCAGCATCCCTAGCTTGCCCCTCGGTAGTGCCTTTCCTTAACTCAACTAGACATTTGCCTCTTTATGGCTTCCCTCCTGCAATGTAGCAAGAGGCCAGGAGCTCTCTGCTGCTCCCTGTCCTGTCCCCAATGCCCACAGCACAATGAAAGAGTGAATGGAGTGGACAGGGCTTGTCCAGGACCTCACTGCCAGAAGAAGTGGCCTCGCGGCTCAGTCTGTGCTGTCCGCAGTGCCGCGTTGTTCCCCGCAGAAGGGACACCGGAGCGCTGTGTGGAGATCATCATCGTAGTGTTCCTCCTGTAACTCCAGCACCAGCTGGCCTCAGCTCCTAGTAGGGCCTCACGGTAAACATCACCAACAAGTTGCATGTTGTCAGAACTCCCTGAAAACAGTGCGTCTTTGGAAGGAAAGTTGTTTGCTCAGCTACAGGGCAAGAACAAGGTGGGAGTTCTAGACAGACCTGTGCTTTCTGTCCCTGGAGATCACTTCTTCATTCAGATGCTGCTTGAGAAGAGGCTGGCTCATATTTTTGTGCCTTTAGTTGTCGCATTAATTTTGGAGGAGTTGATTTTTATCTCCTCTTATAGACGGAAAAACACAGACTCAGAGAGATGGTTTCCTATAGGTTACTTAGCTGCTTAGTGACAAAGCCAAGAGCTGGGCTCACACATCCCCAGACCAAGTGTCCCGCTCCCAGGGGTGCTCTCTGGTTTGCTCTAATGTGTATGCACACCTGGTGTGGGCCCCAGTTAGCTGCAGATTATGCCTGGTTCCTGAGGGCTCAGGTGCACCGTCATGGCTTCATGGTGGTGTGGCAGCCACCTATACACCATTCTGTCCTTTGCTGTCAGTGTTCAGTAAATCATGTGAGCCCAGTTCCTGGCTAATGTAAGTGTTCCAAGCACGTTGACACTGGGCTGCACTGAGCTAAGCCAGAGGGTTGCAGCCTGCCCCTACCCACCCAGTTCGTGCAGGCTGGACAAGTGCATAGGAAGTCAAACAGGGAGACAGGATGTCGGTGGCAGAGGTGCTCCTGGGTACCTCCCCTTTGAGCCTGAGCAAAGACTGTGCACTGGGGAGGCGGGGCCAGAGAGGCTCTAGAGCAGACTTGTATAGAGGGCTTAGGGGCTGGAGGCCAGGCTCCTCTTCTTGAGGCCACCTGTGTGATCCACAGGGCCCAGCACAGCAGGGGATCGGGGAGCCCCTGGTTACAACATTATTAAGGATTCAAAGACAGTGACATCAGAGCCTTAAACTCAAGGCCTTCGAGCTTGGCTTGGAGTCTCTGCCCTTGTGGCTCATGCCCGGCATCCAGCCTCATTACTGTTCTTTGTTCTTCAGCAATTGATGAGGTTTCCTTTTGTGAATGAGGCCCAAAGCCGACACCAGGTAGGAGTTCTCATCGTGATGGGATGCTGATGCTGCAGGTGCCTGTTCACGGAGAGGGTTGAGACTGAGGGGTGCACATCGCCTGCCCTGAGCCCGCCAGCCAGGGCATGGCCAGGCCCTGTCTCCTTCCCTTGACTTAGAACTTGGCACTCAGGGACTGACTGACTGTTTGTTTGCTTTTCATTTTATTTGAAAGGGAGAGACAGAGAGAGAGCGAGGGAGGGAGGGAGACGTGGAGAGAGATCTTCCATCCACAAGTTCACTCTTCAAATGCTTACAACAGCCAGGGCTGGGCCAGTTCAAAGATGGGAGCCCAGAACTCAATGATCCAGGTGGCAAGGACCTGAGTACCTAAGCTGTCACCTCCTGCCTCCCAGGGTGCGTGTTAGCAGGAAGCTGGAACTGCACCTCCTGCCTCCCGGGGTGCACGTTAGCAGGAAGCTGGAATTGAGGTGGAGCAGGGACTGAAACCCAGGCATTCTGATACGGGATGCAGGCATCCCAAGTGGTGTCTGAACCGCCATGCCACACGCCCTCCACCCTTGTCCTCTGTGATACAGTTTTTATCATAGTAAGAAGTGCCTGTTCATATATTCAGTGGATAATGTCAAGCTTTGTGTTTTTTCTGAAATATCTATAACAGAAGGTTCAGCTAAGATGCATATTATTTGTTGAATACTCATGGGTAGGAGAATGTACTTTGTGTTCCATGACTTCTGATATCTTTTGGACAATTTTCTGCCTATAGTGTGAAGACTCATGTCCCTTTTGCCTGAGATTCTAGTCTCTGTAAGTCCATCTTTAACTGGGCACTGGAGGTGAGGCAGACCCTGAGGGCCAGTGCTGACACCACCTGCCCTCCGCCTGCACTGATTCCTGGCCTGAGTGCCTGTGTGCAGGCTTCGTCTGGGCCCTGCTCTGAGCAGAGATGATGGCAACCAAGGTCCCAGGCAAGGCCTGGAGGGGTGAAGAGATTCCTCCCTCTTGTGAAAGGACCTTGTGGTATCCCAGATTCAGTCTGAGGTCACCGCTGCCAGGCAGGGTGGCCTGGACAGAACGTGGCAGCCTGGGTTGCAGCCTAGCCCTATAACCCCCACTCCCCACCATGTGACCTTGGACAGCCGACAGGGCCACCTGGGCTGCACGTGTGCCCTCCATGCTGTGGGCACACCGGGAGCTCATGGGGGCACTGTGCTGAGGGTCAGATTAGAGAGTTCCTGATGTCCCTGTAGATGATATTTGCACTGGCACTCGTGTGCCTGGGGCTCGGTACTGGGATGCAGCAGGCAATCAGGAGTGCTTCCTCCCACAGGCAGAGGCAAACGTGGCCACAGAAGCACCTGTCTGCACAGATGATAATGGGCGCAGGGGATGGGCCGAACCTGTGACAGCCGGTTTCACCGCCGCTGACTCCTGCTCTCTTGCTGTTTCAGGGAGGGACTGTTGAGGCAGGGGCACGGGCAGGGGATTGTCTGTTTCTGACAAAAATCACTTCTCACAGACTCAGTGATTGACTTTAGACTTACCTGTAGTGGACGAAGGCCGTCAAAGTACAAATTACTCTTTTCGGCACCCTGGAAAGCACAATGATCATTTTTTTTTTTTTTGACAGGCAGAGTGGACAGTGAGAGAGAGACAGAGAGAAAGGTCTTCCTTTGCCGTTGGTTCACCCTCCAAAGGCCGCCGCGGCCAGTGCGCTGCGGCCGGCACACCGCGCTGATCCGATGGCAGGAGCCAGGAGCCAGGTGCTTTTCCTGGTCTCCCATGGTGTGCAGGGCCCAAGCACCTGGGCCATCCTCCACTGCACTCCCTGGCCACAGCAGAGGGCTGGCCTGGAAGAGGGGCAACCGGGACAGAATCCGGCGCCCTGACCGGGACTAGAACCCGGTGTGCCGGCGTCGCTAGGTGGAGGATTAGCCTAGTGAGCCGCGGCGCCGGCCCACAATGATCATTTTTTGACCATGAGAGAGAACAAATCTGTGATACAAGGCATAAGGACCTGTTTAAGAGACAATGAGTTCTGCTAGCACCGCGGCTCACTAGGCTAATCCTCCGCCTTGCGGCACCGGCACACCGGGTTCTAGTCCCGGTTGGGGTGCTGCATTCTGTCCCAGTTGCCCCTCTTCCAGGCCAGCTCTCTGCTGTGGCCAGGGAGTGCAGTGGAGGATGGGCCAAGTGCTTGGGCCCTGCACCCCATGGGAGACCAGGAGAAGTACCTGGCTCCTGCCATCGGATCAGTGCAGTGCGCCGGCCGTGGCGGCCATTGGAGGGTGAACCAACGGCAAAGCAAGACCTTTCTCTCTGTCTCTCTCTCTCTCTCTGTCCACTCTGCCTGTCAAAAAAAAAAAAAAAAAAAGAGAGACAATGAGTTCCTCATCTTTGGTTGGGGGTGGGCTGGGGTGCCAGTCCCTTGCAGGCCAAGGGAGGCTGCTAAGGGTGGAGGGGGCAGGTGGGATGAGCACAGCTGCCCTGGCTCCTTTGTGGAGAAGCCCCTGCAGCTTATCAGAGGCTGACGTCAGACCCCTGCAGAGAGAGGGCAGCCTGAGTCCCAGGAGCTACCGAGGGGCAGCTTGGTGGAGGGAGACAGAGCATGGGTTCCAGAGCTGACAGCCTTGTGTTTTGAGTCTGAGCAATGATTTATCAGGGCCTAAGATGGGCAGGCTGCCCCACCTGTCAGGAAGAGTTTTCCTTCTTTGTAAAATAAGACAAGTGCTGGTTCTGACCAGGTGGCAGTCGGTCCTGCACTGTGTTACTCTGTGCCATCATCTTGTGAATGGATCCAAGATGCCAGTTCCCGGTCATCATCACAGGTGTGGTGGAGCTGGTCCTGGATCCTGTGCAGGATCCTGTGCTGTCTCCCCAGCAGCTGCTGAGTTACAACTGACAAGGAGGTGGGCTGGGTGGAGAAGTCATGGTCTTGGGGGCACAGGTGACCCACACTCTGGGCCTCTTGCCAATGACCCCAGCCTTCTTCCTGCATTGAGAGCCTGTGGGCCCTTGGGGTGCTGTGTGCCGTAAGGGGCCACACCAGGTCCAGCTGTAGCTTTGTGAGGTGGCCTTGGGTGCCAGCGGGAGCACAGGCTGCAGAGGGTGGAGGAGGCACCCTGTGTGTAGCATCAGGACAGTGGCGATACCTTGCTTTGTGTGGTTTCAGAGAAAGCAGGGCACACCAAGCTCTGAACTTCCCACCTCACAATGGGCATGGCGGCCACCACCTTTGTGGGAAGAAAATCGTCAGCGGGCTGATCTGAAACCCCATGGGAAGTTCAAAACTACCTGCTAACCCCAGGGTTCTTTTGTGTGTGTGTCTAGATTTCCAGTGGGTTCAAGGGGACGTGTGTGAAGTCCAGCTGATGGTGTACAACCCCATGCTGTTTGAGGTTCGAGTGCAGAACATGGTATGTACCACCGCCAGGGGCCTCTGTGACCGAGAACTCCAGCGTGTCACTAAAATGTGTCTTTGCTTACTGTTAGAGGCATTAATTCTGGCACACAAGTCTGCTGCCCAAGATAGTAAGCGTTTGGTGAGTGAAGTCTGTGTTTTGTCATTACCGTGTCTCATGCTTGCTGCCGAGTAGACAGCACAGAGCAACCTTGGGCTTGTACACGCATTGAGCTTTGCCCATTGGCTATGAGACTGGAAGTCAGCACTTTGGAGTTCACAGGGGCTTACTGGAGATTGTTGTGCTGCTGTGAGGTGACACAGGGATTGAGGCGCAGGGGGAGCTGTAGAGAGAGGTGCTGTGTTACTGCACCATGTAGGGTGTGGAAGATTCACGCCCTGGGTCCATGCTTGTTTGGGGGACTTGTGCTGCCTTCAGACTACATGGGATCCATTCCCAAGGTTCTCTGTACTGCGACCAGTTTCATAACCGGTGTTCCAGGTGAGAACCAGGCTCTTCCTGCTGGTGTCTCACTGAGGGCCATGCCCTGTGCCAGGTACAGGGTGCTTGGGACCCGGGGGATACGAAGGCCCATAGCCCTTATCCCTGGTGTGAACACAATGAGCTGTGTTGGGGATGCATGGCGTCTGCCTGGGAGAGACACCCCTGCTGGCTGGGCCAGACTGCCGGGTGGAGCCACAGTTTTCCACAAGCCAGGACTGTTGGGCAGCCCTGCTGCATGTGACTGCTCCCCAAGCCTGTGTTAAGCCAGCAGTCCTGAGACTGACTGAGGACCAGTGTTCCCCCAACTGTTGCACAAGGGTGCACTGGCCTCAGGACATGGCCATGGTCAGCCTCTGCTGTGGCTGTCTGGCTCTTGGAATCCAAGGGGGAAATTTACCACAAAGTAGTTAAAGTGTCAGATGATTGCTGCTGTTTCTTATACATTTTTTTTTCATTTTAAAAGTAGCATTTTTACCTGGTTTAAAAGTAATAAATTACATATTTTAACAAATCAGGAAGGGTAGAGACTTAGACAAGAGAAAAACACCACTTGAATATAGCCAGCATACCATGGTGCTGTGTTGAAAGCTGACTCATGGAACACTTCAGACGTGCACACGCCACCCGCGTTTCAGGCAGGCAGCGGTGGCCACACCGCCCTGGTTGTTCTATGAAGACAGAGAGGCCAGTGTGTCTGTTAGAGATGAAAGGCATGCGATCAGCTTCTCTGAGTGCATCCTGCCCACTGCACCCCCTCCACACGCACACACGCAGATCACTTCACGCCTTTGCCTCACATGTGGGCGGCAGGCGTGCTCACTGCCCCCAGAGTGTCTCTGCTGCCGGCGTCTCCTGTGCACAGAGTTAGACACAGTGTATGTGCATTCCACACACCCAGCTGTCTACACCACGCACACATCTGTGCATGCAGGTTTCATACACCCTGAACTCACACCGAGGCCCGGCATCTTGCCTTCCTGCGTTCCATGTTTGCGCCCTTCCTCTCAGCACACCCACTTACATGCCTTGTCCTGCCACAGATAAAAGAGGTTTTTTTTTTTTTAAAGATTATTTATTTATTTGAAAGTTGAGTCACAGAGTCCATTTGCTGGTTCACTCCCCAAGTGTCCGCCTAAGCCAGGGCTGAGCCAGGCTTGAAGACAAGAGTTCTGTCTGGATCTCCCACATGGGTGGCAGAGGCCCAAACACTTGGGCCATCTTCTGCTGTATTCTCAGGCACATGGGCAGGCGGCTGGATCGGAAGTGGAGCAGCCAGGATGCAAACCAGCAGCTATATGGGATGCTGGTGTTGTAGGCAGCGGCTTTACCTGCTACGCCCCAATGCCGGCCCTGGATCTGAGAGTTTGAGGGTTGCCTTGACTGCAAACTGTGGAAAGAGGAACCCCACAAACAGGGCAGGACTCTCTGTGTCTTGAGTTCTTTAATTTATCTCAGCAGGTTTCTGTAACTGTGATGAAATCTTGCACGTTATTCGTTAGATTTACTCCAAGATAGTTGGAATTTTTGGTGTCTTGTTCATTTTTTTAAACATTTTATTTTCCAATAGTTGACTGGTGATTGTTGACATCTTTTAGATTGTGGGAGACCAGGAGGAAGCTTCTGCATCCTGGCTTTGGCCTGTCCCAACCCCAGCCATTGCAGCCATTAGTGGAGTAAAACAGTAGATCTCTCTTGTCTCTGTTTCCCTCTTGTTTTCAAATAAATATAAGTGTTTCAAAAAAAGAAAAATAAAAATTTTCCTTTGTGTTCATATTCCCATTTGGTACAAGAAGAAAGCAAAGCAAACATCAGAAACATGGTAGAGAGGACCAAAATCAAGGGCAGCAGCTGTTGATCTGACTGCCCTGTGCGTCACGTGTGCATGGTCTCTGCAGTTCCCTGTGGGTTCTAAGAAGCCGCAGCCTTCCACTGCCTTGTTCTGGGCTGCCAGGTGTGCGGTGCAGGCTGGTCCTGCTCATGTTGCTCTGTGCCTTGCTGCAGGGGCTGCTGACCAGTGGAGTGGAATTCGAGTCGCGCCCCGCAGCACTCTCCCTTCCGGCCGAGTCTGGTCTGTACCTGGTGACGCTCGTAGGGGTCCCACAGACGACTGGAACGATCACCGTGAACGGTAAGGGCTTTTCTGATTGCTGCTGTTGAGGGGCTGCCACACTGCTGTTCCGTACACCAGGGTCCAGAGCCTCTCACCCATCTCGTTAGTCCTCGTCCATCAAGGGATGGGGAAAGACTGCCTTTCCTTGGGATGTGGTGCAAGTTGTTGGAGTGTGATTGGCACCTGCCAGGCTCCTGCTGCGCTGGGCGGGGCCCCTTCCTGTGCTCTGTCTGCCTCCTCCTCCAGACAGTCTTCCAACAGCTTGGTTCCTACCTCTGCATCCTGACCTTTCCTGATGCCACGATGTCCCATGTGCTCTCAGGAAGCCCCTGTCTTCTGCTGGATCTCTTCGGAGAGTTGGCTGTGCACACTGAGTCGCTTCTGCCACCAGTGCCATGTTCCTGCACCCCTCGGCGTCCTGAGTTTAACCCTTATCCCTTCACCAGGACACCTGTCTGTGGCATCACTAGTGGCGTTTTTCTGCCTAAACCTGGGACCAGTGGTTTGGTTTGCTTGGAGCTTTAGTGCTCATTTGCCACCCTGCATGTGTGGCGAGCTGTGTCCTCCAGCCTCAGTGACACCACACCCTCCAGATTTTCCACGGTCTCTTTGGCCCTTCTTCCTCAGTCTTGCTGGTCTCGTGCAGGTGTCCCCTTGCAGCCCAGCCCTCTGACAGGTGCTCCTCACTCTGTGTTTCTTGTCCTCCTCTCTGTTCTCCGTACATCACTGCTGGTGAGGGTGTCCCCAGCCCCACAGTGTTTTTCTGCCTCACAGCCCTGTAGACTGCTGACCACTCCTGGGGTCAGGTACCCTTCCATGGCCTGCGCCCCAGCACTTCCCAGCTATCCCCCTGGTGTCCAGCGGGTGGGACATGCGTGTTCGTCACGTCCAACCCAAATGTACTGCCTCCCCTCCCCAAAGCGGTCTCTCTTCTGAGACCCTTCTCTCTCCTCTAAAGGCATCGTGGTCAACCAGTGGGAGTCACTTTCCCTCTTCATCAGGCCGAGTTCCCCAGCCCTGTGTGGTCCATCTCTGTGCTCCTCTGCTAAGCCTTCCTGCTGGGTTACACATTGTCCCTCTACCTTTGCTGTCTTGCAAGTGCCCTATCCTTTTCCACTTCCTCCACTACCTGTGTGGACTTAGTGGTCCCTGAGCTGTGCATCTCTGTGCAGAGCAGTTGGCATTGTTCTTTGGTGTGTTTTGTGCACAAAGCTAGACGGGCTGACCCTGTACTGCTGTGCACAGTAATTGTGGACCCCAAGTCTTTGTCATCAAACTATTATGTGACAGCCATTTTCAGCAATGGTAAGGAAAGGCCTGATTCTAATTAGGGATTATAAAATAGTGGTTGCTCAGCAGGCAAAACATATATCAGGTTCCTGTTGAAAGGGAAATGCGAGAGACCCTGGTTCCAGGTATGGATTTGTGGGGAGAATAGTGTTTTGCCCATTGCAGGGGGTGTTTTGACAAGCCCACCCTCTGAGGGAGGGTGAGCTGGAGTGGTGTTGAGAGAGCAGCTCCCAGCCAGCAGGAACCTCAGGAGGACCGAGGAGGCTGCTGGGGCCCCGGAAGCCCTTGAAAGCCATGCTGGCTTCTCCATTGAGCACACCCCAGGCTCACACAAGTGTAGGCAGGTTGTCACCTGAGCCTCGAGCCACTGGGTATGGTTTCATTTTGTTGCACAGTAAATGCTGTTGACAATAATTAGGTAAATTTCAAAAGCCGTTCTACAGCTTTGCTTAAATAGTTTCAAGTGCTTATCTCACCAGTGGGAAATTTGCTCATCTTAAACGGCAGTGCTCACACACACACACACACACACACACAGCCAGTTCGCCCCATCACAAAGCTGCTGCAATAATAATAATTGGCTCTTGAACTTTCGTCTCTCAACAGAAGGTTCTGAAGCATTTTTCAAATACTCATTAAATTACATTATGTCCCGGGAAGGAATATTAACTGCCATCCTCACTGTGGAGATGGATAAATCTGAAAAGCAAGTGAGTCCCAGGCTGAGATGCTGACTACGGGTTGTGCAGAGATTGATGGCTTACAGGAGCTTTCCCAATTGGGCCCAGTCAGCCTGGTGGGATGGGAGTACAGGTGCTGTTGTATCCCCACCACAAAGGAGGAGCCCGAGGGATGTTGAGGCTGTGGGCAGGGACTGGCAGGTAACGGAGCCAGCACCAGGACCCAGGTCTACTGCAGGGTTGCCCTTGCTGATTGGGGACTTCAGCAGTGGACAGAAAGGTGGACATGGGGCATGGAACTTTGCTGGGAGTTGTGAGGTCTCTACTTTCCTGTGTCCCAGGTTACCACACCACCATCTTTGGTGTTGTCAGTGACTGCCTGCTGGACCACCTCCCGGGAATAAAGACCAGCGGCTCTACTGTGGAAGTCTGGCACCCATATGGGATTGTTTTATTTTTGTTTTAGATTTTCAGCATCACAGGGAAGCATAAAGGAGAAAGGGAAGTGGCTGTCGGGAGGCCTGGAGCCAGTCACTGTGAATGCTTGGAGGTGCTTCCTGCCACTTTAGAAAACACTTTTCTGAACACGGTGTCATAGATGAGTTTTTGTGAAATCACATTAATAAGCTTTTCCTCACACTTTAACAGAGTCTTAAAAAAACGTTTCTAGTTGCGTTTAAAAAGGACAGCCTGAGGATATCTCAGGACTGCATAACCGCCCTTTCCTTGCTGTTGGATTTGGGCCATTCTCAGTTGTTGCCCTCAGGGGTGACACTTCTTGGACATCCTTTGGCTATTTTTAGGATGTCTGAGATTTTCTAAAAGGTTTTAACTGGTTTGTGTGTCTGATACATGCTTGTTGCTTGCTAGGCAGTGGGCCAGGTGCCAGAGCTGAAACCGTGGGCCCAGCATTCTGGGGCCTGGTGCTCAAGGAGGCTGTGTTCAGCGGGAGAGAGGGAGAAGGCAGAACCAGCATGGCCACTGCCCTCCGGTCCCCACTGGTGGCCGTGAGGGGCTGGGAGCAGGAGTTAGCCATGCACAGTGGGCAGCTGGGAGCATTTGTCAGAGGTGGAGAAAGCATCAGGTGATTGGGGAATGCAATGAAATGCAGGAAGCATGAATTCTAAAGCAGATCCCAGACCTGACTGTGAGAGCTCAGAGCACCAGCCTTTGAAAAGAAAGCTGGTGAGAGTTTTCACGACCTTGTATTAGCCAAAGAGTTCTTTGACATGTCACCAAAAGCAAGATCCACAAAGAAAAAAAAACACTGATAAATTGGGCTTCATCAAAATTAAAAACTGCTGTGCTTCCAGAAATACCACTAAGAAAATGAACAGACAACTCACAGGCTGGAAGGAAATATTTGTACATCATGTTTCTGGTAAGGATCTGCTACTTAACACCCAAACTAAGAAGGCAAACAACTAAATTAGAAAGGTTGACAGAAGTATGGGTTAGCTCTCTCCCCCTGAAAGACTTCCCAGGAGCTAACGAGCAACCTGGAAAGGTGTGTGGCATCATCAATCTTTCTGGAGCTGGTACCGTGTGGGGTTCCTGCTCACACCTGCCAGGGTGGCTGTCCTCAGAAGACAGGCGGTAGCCATGTGTGGTGCTGGAGAAGCCTGCACGTTTGCCATGTTTCTACAAATGTTGAACGTAAATTGACCATATGACTCAGAAATTCGGTGTCCACCCAAGGCCGAGGAAAGCACACAGTGACTCAGAAACTTGTATATGAATGTTCACAGCTGCATTTTTGTAATAGTCCAGAAAGCAGGCAGAACTTGGATGCCCATTGCCTGGCAAGTGGCTGAACAAAATGTGACACATTTGTACCTGGGTTGCCGCTGAGCAAGACAGGCAAGCAGGGCCCTGACACAGGAACCAAATATGGCCCATTTACACCTGGGGTGCAGCTGAGCAGTGGAGACGCACTGACGCATGCTCCCGACACATGCTTCAGCATGGACACCGAAGGCCAGGATGGCTGCCTTTTATCTCTTACTGAAAAATGGTATAATACATTATACCCTATTTCTCTGGGCTGGCCATTGTGGTGTAGTGGGTAAAGCTGCTGCCTGCAACACTGGCATCCCATATGGGTGTTGGTATGTGTCCCCAGCTGCTTTCCTTCTGATCTAGCTCCCTGCTATGGCCTGGGAAAACAGCAGCAGATGACCCAAGTGCTTGGGCCCCTGCACCTGCGTGGGAGACCCAGAAGAAGCTCCTGGCTCCGGCTTTGGTCTGGCCCAGCCCTGGCCTTTGCAACCATTTGGGAAGTGAGCCAGTGGATGGAAGTGTGCTTTCTCTCTCTCTGTAATTCTGCCTTTTAAATAAATAAATAAATAAATAAATAAGTATTTTTTTTTCAAGTGACTCTTGATTAATTAGGTGTTGATTGTAACTAATCTGCTATAAAGGCCCCTGTGACTGGTGAAATGCACTCACCAGCATCTGTGAACACCACCTTGTGCTCCAGGACCCTGACCTAGGCCATGACCCTTTAGAAGAGCTCCCTATCGGGGGTATGGGGGCTTTAGGGGGTTGGTGTGATCATTGGGATTTGCTGACTGCTCCTGTAATGTGAACCAGAGGAGGGGACGCTGACCCTGTCTTGTGGGGTTCAGGAAGGCTCCATAGAAAGTGTGGGATTTACAAAGCATGGTCAAACACAGACCGTAAAGAAGGGAGTGAAATACGACTGAGAACAGCAGGATGGGACAGATGCAGAGCCCTGGAGAGGCAGCTCCCCAGAGACAGAGTGAGCTCAGCGCATGCACAGTGGACACAGGCCTCCCTGTGGGTCAGCCACACAAAAGAGAATAACCCTGTGGGCATTGGGGGGCAACAGAGCCTGGCAGGAGGAATGATGCTAGGCCTGTGGCCTGATGGCTTGTGTGTGGGCACAATGGGGCTGTGCCTTCCTTCCAGTCTCTTTTTTTTTTTAAGATTTATTTATTTTTATTTGAAAGGCAGAGTTACAGAGAAACACACACACACACACACAGACACACACACCTGGAGAAAGAGAGAGAGAGAGAGAGGGAGAGAGAGAGAGAGAGAGAGAGAGAGAGAGAGAGAGAGGTCTCATCTGTGGGTTCACTCCCCAAATGGCCACAAAGGCCAGGTTGAAGCCAGGAACCAGGAGCTTCATTTTGGTCTCCTATGTGGGTGGCAGGAGTTCAGATACTTGGACCATCTCCCACTGTTTTTCCAGGTGTATTAGCAGGGAGCTGGATTGGAAGTGGAGCAGCTGGGACTTGAACCGGCACCCATTAAGAGATACTAGTGCTGCATGCAGAGACTTCACCTGCTACACCACCACACCAGCCCCTGCATTCCGCACCTTGAGAGATGCTGCACCAGGCCAGGCACCAAGCAAGCAGCCGCTGAACACACAGTGGTCACTCTGTCCTGGGCTCGGGCAGACACTGATGAGATGCTCTTGTATGCCACACAGGAGGTTCAGAGTTGAGGTGCTTATCAGTCTGTTCAGTGCATTCTTAGTGAGTACCTATTAGACACTAGGTGTATGGCTAGGAGCTGATAGCAAACAGACAGAAACATCGTTCCTGCCTTGGGAAGGCTCTGGGGCCAGCGCAGGACTGAGGAGGACAGTGCTGCTGGTGGGAGCTGGGTCCCAGTGCCATGTCCCGAGTGTGGCTTTGCAGCAGTGCCAGCTGCAGTCTCACTCTGATGCCGTTCCTCGTGGCTCCGGGGCTCCTGCACTGTGGGTGCCTCCTTCCGCCCCTGTCCCCTGCAGCACAGAGGGCCTGGACACCCTGCTGTGCTGAGACAGCCAGTGATTAGTCCTGGCTGAGTTTTGTTACCTCCTGAAAGCTTCCCCCAGGAGGGACTGATGTGCAAGCTGCACAGGGGTCATGCAGGGAGGTTGTGCATCGGCTTTCCTTCCCTGACCTAGGAGCGAGGAACGCTGTTACAGATGGCACAGAGGAAATCGCCTCAACCTGTTGTGCTGTTTTTTTTCTCAGGATTTGGTTTGGGAAAAAACATTGCCTTTGATCGGAGCCTGGAGCCGAGGCGCGTCATATGCCTGGCTTACAGAACCTGACTTGTTCTTAGCATGGTTGGCTCCAGAATTTCTCATTCAAGCCAAGATTCTCTAGCTCCTATTTCTGAAATGCCAAATGTGGTCGTCCTTTTACCTGATGTGAATCAGTTTTTTTTTTTTTTAATTTAGTATTTGAAAGGCAGAGAGAGAGAGAAAGAGAGAGAGGGAAAACGAATTGATCTTCCATTTGCTGGTTCACTCCCCAAATGACTGGAGCTGGGACCAAGACAAAGCCAGGAACCAGGAGCTTCTTCTGGGTCTCCCACATGGGTGCAGGGGCCCAAGCACTTGGGTCGTTTTCTCCCTGCTTTCCCAGGCACATTAGCAGAGAGCTGGATTGGAAGTGGAGCAGCTGGGATTTGAATTGGCACTCATGGGATGCTGGTGCTGCAGGCAGCGGCTTTACCCACTACACCACAGCACCGGCCCCTGATGTGAATCATTCCTGCACAGCGTTGGTTTCTTCCTTCAGTTTATTCTCCCTGCTTTTGGTTTAGATCGGCACACTCATTGCAGCCTTCCTCTGGTGACGAGATATCTACCAACGTGTCTATGCAGCTGTTCAACGGGGAGACTCATCAACTCATCGTCACATTAGAAAACATTGGCCTGGAACCCCTGGAGACACTGCAGGTCACCTCCAAACTGCTCCCCACCAAGGGTAGGTGTGGTCAGTGCGTCAGACCTGGGAAGTTTGCGTTGTTGCCTTGCACAAGTGATATTTTACATAGCTACTGTTCAGAAACCTCAAAGCTTGCTTTAGTTTGGTGCAGTCCTGATGGGGGTGGAGATCAAACACCACATGCTACAGGCATGAGGCTGACCCCTTCGTGCCCTTGGTTCCCATTACTGGATCTGAACAGGGGTCAGATCCTCAGCAGACTGGTTACTGAGTGGAAGACTGGGAGACAGGAACAGGCCGATCCCATGGTTCCTGCAGCCCAGGGCCGCCTCCTGATTCAGCACTTGAGGGCTGGGCCAGGCTGAAGCCAGGAGCCAGGAACTCCATCCAGGATTCCCATGTGGATAGCTGGGGCCCAAGCACTTGGGCAAACCTCCGAAGGATGCCAGCATTGCAGGAGGCTGCTTAACCCTCGGCACCACAGTGCCAAGCCCAAGGTGTAGCTTTTCCACCTTTCTGGGCTGCTGTTTCCTTTGCTGTTGCTGTGCCTTTGAACTTTTCTGGAACTCAGTCCCGTGTCAGCCATCCCTTTCTTTCCTGCCTTTTATCAGGACACTATTGATTGCAGACTTGCAGGAATCCTATCTAAACAATTGTGTGCCTGCTGTGTAGCTTCCATACTTAGCATTTTGCTGCATTTGCCTTGTAACACATCTCTCTGGCCTCCTACCTACACCCCCTCACCCCGCCCAGTATCTTGTTCCGGATTTCAGAAGCACCTGTGAGTGCTTCTGAGCTCGATGTTTTTGATAAAATGCACATGCGCTGAAATGTGCAGGTCTAACATGTTTCATCCGATGAGTTTCAACAGATGCTGGCCCATGTCATTGTGTAATCTAAGCCCTCATCAAGATATAATACAGAACATTTCCATCACCCCAGAAAGTTCCCCAGCTTTCTTCCCAGCAAGTCCCAGTGCAACCCCGGGAGCAAACACTCTTGTCTGTCGTCTGTGTGCTGGGCAGCCCCACTGGGTGTTTACTGCTGGTGATGCAGGGTGTGGGTGACTTGCATATCAACTGGCAGGTGGCAATTGGCAGACGTGCAGCCCAGTCACCCTCTCTTCCCTACCTTGAGTTTAATTTTCCACTGGGTCTTGCCCACACCTGGTCGGTCTTAAAAATCTTTAAAGACATTTATTTTCAGGCTGGCACTGTGGTGTAGCTGGTTGAGCCACCGCCTGTGGCACTGATATCCCATGTGGGTGTCGGTTTGTGTCCCAGCTGCTCCACTTCTGATCTAGCTCCCTGCTAGTATGCCTGGGAAAGGAATGGAAGGTGGTCCAAGTGCTTGGGTCCCTGTAGGAGACTTGGAGGAAGCTCCTGGCTTTTGGCTTCTGGCTCCGGCCTGGTCCAGCTCTGACAGTTGGAGCCATTTGGGGAGTGAACCAGCAGATGGAAGAGTTCTTTCTGTGTGTCTTTCTCTCTGTAACTCTGCTTTTCAAATAAAATAAATCTTAAATAAATTTACTTTCTTTTCTTTCTTTTTTTTTTTTTTGACATGCAGAGTGGACAGTGAGAGAGAGACAGAGAGAAAGGTCTTGCTTTGCCGTTGGTTCACCCTCCAATGGCCCCTGTGGCTGGTGCGCTGGGGCCAGTGCACTGCGCCGATCCGAAGCCAGGAGCCGGGTGCTTCTCCTGGTCTCCCATGTGGTGCAGGGCCCAAGCACTTGGGCCATCCTCCACTGCACTCCCGGGCCACAGCAGAGAGCTGGACTGGAAGAGGAGCAACTGGGACAGAATCCGGTGCCCTGATCGGGACTAGAACCCGGTGTGCCGGCGCTGCAGGTGGAGGATTGGCCTAGTGAGCCGCGGCACCGGCCAGAAATTTACTTTCGTTTGCCTGAAAGGCAGAAAGACAGACAGAGCGAGAAATATTATCCATAGATTGTTTAACTCCCAAAGGGCCAAAGGCCTTGTCTCTAGTTAGGCCTAGGATGGCTGGGGTCTATGTTACTCTCCTCCTTTTTATGGACAGGGGAGTAAAGGCAGAAGAGGTGATTAACTAAGGTCACATAGCAGGTGCACGGGGAACCAGCAGGAGGACCAAAGTCTCCTGATTCTCAGCTTTGGTGTAGTCACCCTTAGGAGGCAGAAGCACCATAATCATGTAACACACTGCCCGGTGTAGCCATCTCAGAGCAACACAGTTACCAGTGAAAAATTAAAGCCATCATTCTTTCTTTAGTTTCCTCCCAAGCTGCCATACATTTACATGTGGAATTAAATTAATGGAAACAAACCATATGCTTCCAGAATATACAAAAGGAATAATTCCTGGTGCTTTTGCTGTACAAGGCAAGGCCCCCAGTGGTGACAGATGACCGCCAGCACTAGAAACTGGGAACGTGCGCAAGGCTCCTGTGTGGGGCCATGGTGACAGCAGCAGGTTTGCCTGTGGATATTAAAGAGCATCTATTTCCATTCTCGCCTCAGTTTCACCTTGGGCCCACTGAGCCTACTGAATGCCTGCTCTGCAGATGGAATGCTTCTCTGGTGCCTGCAACGTTTTCTTTCTTTGTGCCGGTGGTAGAGTTATTTTCTATCTTAAAATTAGGAAGAGCTCTCACCCTGGAGCTCATTTCATGCACCAGGTGTAAGGCACTTGACATTCTTTTTCCATATGAAGTTGTCCCAGTGACCACAGGAGGGCTATCGGGGTGGGTGCTCTGGTAATCTGTTTATTTCACTGTGACATCCCCCGTGCCTGAGAACCCAGAGCAGCGCTTGTCACTTAGCAGGTGCTGCACAAGTGTCAACCCTGGTTCTCCCCTCCTGGGGGCGTCCTGAGGATGCAGGACACAGGGGGACAGTACTAGGCACCGAAGTGCTGGACCCAGCTTGCTTTGGCAGTGGCGGTGCTTGGTGCACCCTCCTCTCTGCAGGACTGCGTTTGTGGTCTCAGTGCCTGATGCCGCTGAACCTGCCGGCACCCTGTGTCCTTTCCTGCTCCTGCCTGACTCCTGGGAGGCACCGAGGGTCTCGGCAGGGCCCGCACAGCCCCTTAACACGTCTGCACTCACCCTGAATAACCCCCCGTTCTTCAGATACCAACCTCAGAGAAAGAAAAGTATCTTGTTCTGTTATCCCCCCTTCCATCTTCCTTGCTTTCCTGACCTATTTTACTACAAAAAAAATTGTTTAATTTTTTTGAAAGTCAGAGACAGAGAGGTTAAGGCAGACAGAGAAGGAGAGACAGAGAGATCCCATCTGTTTCTTTTGCTTGGAGAAGGATTTTCTTGTATGCAATCTCATATGTCTATTTTTTGCTTTTGCCACCCACGCCTTTGGGGTCACATCCAAGAAATTACTGCTCAGATGAATGCCATGGACCTTTCCCTCTGCTTTCCTCTAGTCGTTTTAGAGTTTTGGGTCTTATGGTTAAGAATTTATTTATTTACTGGGATATGTGTTTATGTATGTGTGAATGTGTACATATATAGATATCAAGTCTCTAGCACAAATCACTATCACAGGCATTTAATTTTAATTTATTTTCATCTTATTTGAAAGGCAAAGGAAGCTGAGAGAGAGAGAAAAAAAAAGAGAGAGAGGAGAGGGATCTCCCATTTTCTAGTTCACTCCCAGAAAACCTTCATAATATGGAAAAGTCTTATGCTACTTCAAAAATCAGAATACAGATTTATAAAATAAATTAAATTTTGTAAAATTTTTTATTATTTTTTTAACAGGCAGAATTAGACAGTGAGAGAGGGAGAGACAGAGAGAAAGGTCTTGCTTCCATTGGTTCACCCCCTAAATGGCTGCTCCAGCTGCTCCGGCAGGAGCCAGATGCTTCCTCCTGGTCTCCCATGCGGGTGCAGGGCCCAAGCACTTGGGCCATCCTCCATTGCCCTCCTGGGCCACAGCAGAGAGCTGGACTGGAAGAGGAGCAACCAGGACAGAATCCGGCGCCCCAAACATGACTAGAACCTGGGGTGCCGGTGCTGCAGGCAGGCAGATTATCCAAGTGAGCTGCGGTGCCAGCCAATAAATTCAATTTTTAAAATCAATCCAATTTTTTAAAAAAATATACAGTACTAAATAAACACATAGAATGTTAAGTGTGCCTGTCTATGCACAGTTAGGATGCAGGATGAGGAATTATTTTTTTACTATCCATTTATATTTTTCAAGATTTCTAAAAGGAACATACATAATTTGTAAGCTAAAATTTATCATTGAAATGCTTTCAACTGTGGCAGGCACTGTGGTGCAGCAGGTTAGGCTGCAGCTTAGGACACCCACATCCCACACTGGAGAGTCTGGTTCAAGTCTTGGTTGCTCCAAGCGACAGATCTAGTTTCCTGCTCATGAGCACCATGGGAGGCAGCAGGTGATGGCTCAAGTGCTTGTGTCCCTGCCACCGACATGGGACACCTGCAAGGAACTCTGGGCTCCTAACTTTGGCCTGGCCCAGCCCTGGCTGTTGTAGGCATTTGGGGAGTGAACCACTGGATAGAAGATTTCTCTCTCTTTTTTGTCACTCAGCCTCTTACATAAATAAACAAACATTTTTTTTAAATGCTTCAACTTGAATTTTCAAAAAGCTTTAACAAAGAAAACTCGGGGCCTGCTACAACCCTCCCTCTGGGTACAGAACCCAGCACCATAAAAGGTCAGAGGTGGACAGAAGCTGCAAGGTGCCTTGGTTTGAATGCAGGGCATTCCTAGACCTGAGATGACCGTGGCAGCAGCGACAGGCATCCAGGACAGTGCAAACTCGGGACACACACAGTCACTGCCATCCCTTCTCCACAGATTAGGAGGCCAAGGCTCAGAGACTCACCCCACGTCGGGGGTCTGCCACTCCTCCCCCACATGCCCAGATTTCACTGCACTCCCCCCAGCATGCAGACACTGCCTAAGCAGCCATCATCCTGTGAGGAAGACCCTCCCTGACACGACTCAGCGAGATTCCATCTCTTGAAGAGAAACATCAGTCCTCTAACTCCTGGCTGTCACTCTGCCTGGGTTACTAAACCTTCAGAAAAGACAATGTGAAGTCGTTCAGCTCCACACAGACTGCCCAACTTACAGG